GACTCATTTGGGCTCAAATTGGGTTGATCTTGGTGTCGTTGGGTTCGTGTTTCCGAGACGCTCAGTTTGACTATAAGCTCGCTGAAATCGGAGTTCATATGCTCCCGAAATTAATTTTTGAAGTTTCTGAACTGATTTTGCCTCGAGATACGTGCCCAATCATGATAATTTTGAGATGACGTATCATCTATAATATTATTATCTAAATAATACAAGATAAAACATATGGAAATATTTTTTGCTTTCACTCCATCCAATTGATTGTGTAAACTTCATTCCAGCTTACATTGACCCCGCTTTCCCCTTGAAAGAGACGGTCTTAAAAGTCAAATCAAATTTCGTTTGGTAAATTACTCTGCGTTAAGATAACCAGCAATATTTGACCCAGATTTGATTTAGCTCATGAGTTAAAATCAATATAAATTATATTCAAAATATATTAAAACTCAATAATTTAAATATAATATTATTTAAAATGTTTAACTCTCTATTTTTTATCTTAATCGATTTTTTATTACTTCTTTCAAAATTTCCTTATAATTAAAATTATCTTCACTTTTCATAATAATAAACAAGAAGACTAATGAGCTTACTTTAACTTATATTTTAAGCTTGCATTAAAGCTCGAACTTAGGCTTCGTTTGGGGCGGTTTTTTTACTGCTTCTTAAATAAGCTTTCTAGTACTAGAAAGCTGCTTTAAGAAGCAACAAAAAAGTCGTCTCAAACGAAGCCTTAATCAACATCAGTAGATCTCGGGTTTTAGATATGTCAATCCAAATGTTTTACTACCCTCGTCCAACCCCTCTGAAACGTTTTTTTTTATTTTTTATTTTTTAATTTTACAAGTCTCATGATATAGACAATTGAATAAATATATAAATTTTATTTTTATTTGAAGAATTGTGGTAGAAAGTTTATCTCTGATCAAATTAATATCATGCTTAAGTATAGTTTTAATTGATAATGCAAATATTTGTACAAGATAACAACTCAAGCACTTCTCTCCCAAGCACCATCATTGTCTTCCAGGAAACACTCATATTTGATGTCAATTGATCCCTCTGTTGCAAGATTAATTATTCTGTGCGGACGTCGAAAGCCGTCCGGCGATTAACCATAATGCACCATGTTATCCCTGTGCTCGGTACTGCGGCTCGGTACCGTTGACGTGACACATTCTGGTTGGTCTCCGGACGGTGTTATGCGTCCAATCTCCACACAGAATAATTCCTCTTATTGCAAAGCTTCATAGTAAATACTTGTCAATTCAACATATTATCGGTGTGTCGATCTATTTTCATTATATAAATTTGAATGCAGTCATTGTCCATTCCAACACCAATATTCATTGGTTATAATAGGAAAAAAGGATGTAAGGAAGGCCTAAAGTTTGAAAACCAACACATTTTGAATCTTTTATTCAGTGTTTGATCATTATTCAAATAAGATTTAAATATTTATTTCATACATAGAATTCGACCATTCCATGTGAAATTAGGTTCAAAGAAGGATTGAATAATATACAAAGTTCTAATATAAATTTCAAACAAGGATCAAACACTAAATATTAGATCAAAATCTCATTTATTTTTGAACCTATGATTCTCCTTACATCTCCTTACTATTATGACCTATAATTGATAGTTTTGTAATTGATATTGAATGAGTTCTAACATAAATAAGAACAGAACCCATCAACACGAATCTTGAATAATAGGTTAGTGAAAGAGATGACAATAAAGAAGTGTTGGAAGGGAACACAATGAAGCGCTGTAAGATGACAATCAAGGTCCTTTGACGAGAAAAGTCAAAGCAAATTTTTATTCAAATGCTCACAAGACTACGATGGATTATGACCAATCTGTCTTTTATAAGAGTATTTTCAACTTTTCATTTCAATTATATTTCTTTAAATAAAATTATATGAAATATATTTATACAACCCGTCCATTATAAAGATAATGTATTTCATGGATAAAGATGAGCCAATTAATCTGAATATGCCTTAATTAAACTAATTAACCCATCTCAAACTTACTTAATATGAACCGAAACAATAATTAGATCAATAAAAAAACGAGTCCAATATGAAGTGGATGTGTAGTTTATAATCAGATATGACTTAAATAGTAATCAGATTAACTTCAATTCAAAATTTTTAAAGATGAAAATGAGTTAGGTTGTGGAATTAGGTTATTTTTTGACATTTATATTTTTCATGCATAAATTTTAATATAATTTAGACATTATATATAAATAAATATAAATCTTAGGAGTCATGTAGGCAAATAAGGGTTTTATATAATGTATGTATATCACCCAAGAAATGTGTAAAGAAAAATGTTGCCCTTAATTTAGTTTAATACCACTCCATATATGCTCATCAATCCACGCGCAGTGTTCGTTACTTCAAACGCACCACAGAGCTTGCGCCTCTGCGGTGATGGAAAAGAGAGTGTGAGATTAGTATTTTCTTACCAAGTATCTGAACCCAAAACCTCGCTGGCGGGCTCCGGTGGAGGCGAGGGAAGTAAAAGCGTCGGCCATCTAGGTATATGACTCTCTCTCTCTCTCAATGTTTATCTACCATTTGCAATCTTTCTTCATTATTACAGCATCTAGTGTTGACATTCTGTGAGCGCGCGTTCAAGTTGATTTTGGCTCTGCTCATTGCATTGGATTGGCATTCTGCAATTCTGCCAATTGAAAAGAAGAGATAGGTTTCTAAGATGGACGGATTTCATTTCTAGGATTTGCTAATTGACGAAACTGATGTTTTAGCCTTTTGTAGCTAGGGTTTTTGGGTGTTGATTTTTAGCGACTTTCTGTTTGACTCGTGGATTCTGGCTTTTAGGTTTAGGCATAGCACTAGGAGGTATCTGCGAGCAATGTTGCTGTGCGTTTTGTATTAATTTGTTCCTTACATCTATGTTTTCACCGTAAGCCTATGATGGAACTAACTAGGGCCGTGAGACTCTATTTTCTGGGTACTTTTTTCAATTCTGAGATGTTCTAACTTCTAAATGAATTGGGAAGCTTATTGCATTACCTGTTATCAATGTGTGTGCAGGAGCGTGGTGTCTGCTGGCAAGTATTATCTTGATTGTGCTGATAGATTCTATGAAATGCTCTGATTTAACTAAAGTTTCACGAGAAGCACTACTCGCACTAGATGGCAGACTATTCTGTTATACCATCATGTGCTAAATTGCAACTACAGAGAATTGTGCCAAGAGGAAATATTCTCATGCCTAGGAATGTAAATTTGAGGAATCGACCACGGTGTGAACTAACTTCCTTTTTTATTCTTTGATGAGTATCATAAATATTTTAATTTCATTCCATCATGTTTTTCAAATTAGTTGTTGATCAGAGATATACTGAATGGATAAATGCCCAAAATAGTTCCCAAACTATTCATATGTAATCGATTTAATTCAAAAGTATCATATTCCTCAAATTTAGTTCCTCGACTATATAAAGTTTATCCCAAATGTTGAGTTCAATTTTGTATAGTTGATGGACTAAATTATGATCAATTTTATATCCAAATTTCCATCAATTTTTATATGAGAGGTTATTTGGGATCAATTTTGTTCAATCGAGGGACTAAATTGGATAAATGTGATATTTTTGGTTTAATTGGCTACATTCGAATAGTTGGATGACTATTTTTTTCTGTGATAAATGTATATTTCCTCCATCTACTATCATGTTATATGTGCAATCTTAATTCTATGGTCAGATTATTTGCATTCTCTCTTTTGCTTGTAGGGATTGCCTTCTCTTTGGTAGAAGTCATAAGTCATATTTTTCATCATCAAGACTTTATATTGTTCAACCTGCCATTCTTATTTGTGCAAATGAAATTCGTGGCTTGAATGCAAATTTCTCTAAGTGTTGTTGCTGGGGAATGCTTGTTGACCCGGAGAATGCAGCACCATCAAATTTGGTTTCTGCCATGGATGAAGTGCTTCTGATGGTTAGTGTCATCTTGGCATATATGGCTGGGGCTGTGCCACAGAGGAAGAATTTTGATTTTATGAGTCACTACGCAAAGGAAAACTTGGGTTCATCATCTCCTATGTCTTATGGTAGGTAAGAGTAAGCTGCCACAATTTAATCAAGTACATGTGGTATGCAGATTGGGTTGCTGGAAGGCTGCAAACCATGAGTTGATGTGTTTCCAATCTTCATGAACTAGGCACATTACATAGTCATTTGTTTTGATAGGAAGTTTATTTGGCAGGTCTGAAATAAGCGAGAACATAACCAGTTCGAAGACAAATACCATATGGGATGAAGTTAACGGGAAACTTCTTGATGCATTGGATACAACTGGTAATGGTGTTACTTTGGATAACAAAGCTGTTGATATTGCAGATGTCAGTCAAAAAGATGCTTTAAGTCTCTTTGCGCTCAATCAAGGTCCTACTTGGAGATTGCTTTGGACTACTTTATGGAGGCTACAAAAAGAGGCAGGCATTGCCCTCCACACCTCTCTTTTTATATATGAATCATAAGACTTGCTGTTTGCATGACACTGTTATGTTAGCATCCTAAAATTAAAGTTCATCATTCCTTTTTTTAATCTTCTTTATTATACACTCGCAATAGAGTATGGTTTCGGATGATGGTTTGGAGAGAGGGAGAGGGAATTGGGTTAGTTCAGCTCTTGTGATACATACAAATTGCACATCATACATAAATTCTTCACTCTTCATCATATAAATTTGGATAACAGGGCTTCTGATATCATCCACACCATACAAGCCTAGGTTTGACCATAGGTTTGTGGGTGATAAGGTGTGAAAAAGAGGAGTTTGATGTTTGGTTTTTTTGAGTCTTCTAAAAGTAGCTCTTAAAAAGTCTGATGATGATCCTCTTGAAAGGTAACTAAAATATATTTTTAAGTTTGTTTTACATATTTTACTTTGTAAGTATTTATTTTTTAATATCAGCATAATATAGTCTTGGAAGGTTTTGCTTGGTTATCCCTCTGCAGCTGAATCTACTGGGTAAAATTTCTTTCCGATACCCTGCCTTACACCTATTTTACATACATCATCATTCACCCACTCAAATTATTGGTTTCATCTGTTGCTCAACCCCACTCTGCTTATGGACGATCAATTTTCCGCCATTCCAATTTGTCCATCACATTGTTTCTTCTCCAAGTGTTAAAACATATAAAGAAGGTTCATCTTTCTGTCAAAGTCTACCCTTTTATCCATTGCCTCATCTTTGAAAATTTATTGTCCTGATTTTTTTTCCCTATTTATGGAAATTTTGCTGTTTTCCTCTGACATTGGCATATTTCATATATTTTGTGTTATGTTTAATGAATATTTTTTGGTTTCATGTGTGAACAACCTTTTTATGCTTGGACAGGTTAGTAATATTCATTCATCTCATGAAGCTGTTAACCGAGGTGCCTGGCTAGTGGTGGTATCAGAAATCTTTAAAGCAATAGTTACACAAATATTAACCAAATGGTTGGAACAGGAACTCTCTTTGGGTGCTGGTGGCCGCAACATGGTACTACAAAGTCTAAAGTTTGATTTAATGTTTTGTCTTGTCTCTCGTATTGAAGTTAGAGACTCTCTCAGAATCCTGTTGTCCAGCTGTCTGAGAAATTGAAGGGAAATGATGTGGTACTAAACAATATAAAGAGATCAGGGAAGACTGAACTATATGCAGATATTTTGTTCTTTCTCAGATTTGATTCTCTCAGGTATCGAGCTAAATCCCTGCAAGTACTCATCCTCATCCCTTTACTTTTCCCCTTTTCATACCACAGTTTGCTTGAGTTAGGGGCTACATCATGGGTAAAACTGCTTATAAGTGCATGTAAAACACATTATACTTGATAGTTTCTAGCACTCATAGTGCTAAAAGAGTTGCAGGATGTGATAATTTGTCATTGACGCGGTTTTCATTCATATGTTTTTGTTTGTAAATCTAGATCTCCACATTCAATATTTGTGAAAGTAAATTGGTGCAGGCTTTAACATCATTAGCATGGTTGAGCTTCCTGTTAATAAATATATATATTATTTTTCAAAAGAAAGAGAGGGAGAGTTGAAAAGATTATATTTTTGTTAAATTATCTTTCGTGCACAAGCATGTATGTGCTTATGCCCTACATATAAGTTAGAGAAGAAAAAAAAAAAGATAAATATAATAAATCAAATTACCCTCAAGAATGAGGAAATATAATAACAATAAATCTTTTAGATTCATACTATAAATAGTTAATACATATAGTTATTTAGATATTGTAGCATTCTCTCGCAAATTCAAGGTGGCATAGAAAATATCAACTTGAATTTGGAAACAACAACAACCAAAGATGTAGTTAAAGGTTTTATTGCTCAAAAGTTGTAAGTGTCATAAGAGAAGCACAACTGATTCACCAATAAGAGTAGTGTGAATCATACACAGATTCACTAATGATTGTGTTAGAGAAGGTGATAAGATCTTGGATAGAGGTATCAATTGAGAGTTTTGGTAGAGAATATTGTTAGAGAGAGACAATTTAGTGTCTCAACAAAGAGTATTGATGTTGGAGAAGAGAGGAGATCACAAAGAAATTGTTGAAAGATACGAATGAGGTCATGATGTGATATGTGTGATCAAAAGTTGAAACGGTGTATGCATCTGTGGAGGGAACCATGGATATAGGTTTACTATAATAGGTCATTGTGATTTTTTGGATGCCTAGTGATAAGAGAAATGTGAGTGTTGCCGAGCAGGATCAATAAGAGGTCTTGCATGCCAAAGGGATCCTTGATGGTCAGGAGCTAGGAGATGAGGCAAGAGATTTGTTCTTGATTTTTGGTGGATGTTCCTCGATTTTATGTCTAAGGGATTGAAGTTCAAGAGTTGGGATTGATTGCATGTGATGGGTGGTGGTGCAATCGGAGTGCAACACATGAGCATATGTGGTTTACAATCAGGCAAGAGGATGCCTGTAGTTCACATCAAGTAACGAGATCCAAAAGTTTGATCAAAAGGTAGTTGAGAGATGGAGATATTGACGTACTTAATACCATGTTAGAAGCGATAAGCAACTATAATGGGTTATTTTTTTATAGAATTATCTTTTTTGTAAGAGTGTATATGTGCCTGTATATAGAAAAGAGAAGAGAACGATAAATGAGAATATCCTTACCAAAGAGGAAATATGACTATAATAGATAATATAGATTTTTACAAGTAGTTAGCACATGTGATGATAGATATGCAAATAAATTTCTTTCAATTCAATCTTGTAAACCCACTGCGGGGCTATCTAGGTTCTCTTTCCAAGGAAATCCAAGTCTTTAAGATGATATGCAACGAACACCAAGAACATTATCCAATGTTGATGATGCTACTAATAAAATGCCAACAATCTAATGAAAACAAAATCACAATAAGCGCGATTCAATTGGAAGCAAACTGATGATAGAATCAATCGTATTTTCCCTTGAGATATTTTTGTAGAAAACTGTAGAATTCAAATATGAAAAATCTATTAACAGATCTCCAAATAGAAATTAACCATATGAACTTAGATCATATAAAGTGCTAAAACAAATTCATATACTGCAGAAAATTAATGTGTGTATATTTAGTTAAATGAGTCAAACCTATCTCACTTCTATAAAAATCTCTAAATAAATAGAAAGAATAAAGCAAGAGAAAACGAAGAACCAGTCAAATAATTTTCTCTCAATTCAGTTATGTCAAGCTGATTGCCCTGTACGATGAGAAACCAAAGGGACCATGCTGTGTTTATGATGCTACTAATAAAATGCCAAATGTCTAATGAAAATGAATGCACAATAATCAGGATTTGATGAGAAACAAACTAATAATAGAATCAGTTATTTTCCCCTGCGATATTTGTAGAAAACAGTAGATTTCAAATCTGAAAGCTCTAATAATAGATTTCCAAATAGAATTTAACTACGCAGACTTGGATCATATTAAAGGTTAAAATTAATTCATGCACAAAATTAAAGTTTGAATATATTGCAAATTGAGTCAAACAGTATTCATTTTGGTAAAATCTCTCCTTCTCTCTCTCTCTCTCTCTCTCTATTATCATTATTAAGACTACTACAATTTTAATTATTATTGTAACATTATTCTTTCTATTTCCCTCCTTGAAGCCATCCTGAGAGCCATCATTCTGTAATCCATTGAAAGTTATATTTGCTGGTCTAAACATATCTATGATGTTTTTAGTCTCTGACTTCAATGCCTATCATGAATATATGCTTTCAGTATAATTTGGCATTGGCTTCTTGTTTATATTTCAGCAGGTCGGGATGCTGTTTTGACACAAACTTTCTTGTTAAACATGGGGTTGAAATTCTAGAGGATTTGGTGATAACATTGGCTGATGCAGTTGCTTGCATATATCTAGAGCTTATTTCTGTTGATAGTGACATGTCAATTGAAATAAATTCGTTGGGCTTAAAAATATGCCCCCTTTCTACAAGAGTACTTCAGAGATTACGCAATGAGGTGCGCAGTGCTGCTTTACTATAAAAATGTATACTCTTCTAGCTGCTTTTAGCATCATCGTCCATGTAAATTACCATATTTTTGTACTCCAATGCTTGGATATTCTGTCAACTGTAGCTGCTAATGGATAAACTTTAATGTCCATCTCCTCAATTTGCTTGGTAGGGATGCGGATGATTTGGTTATGCAATATTTGTTCTGTGTTTCTCTCCATGTCCTGTAACCATACATTTTGATCAGGTTTATAATTTTGCTTTTTAGGTTTTTAGTTCCAATACCTATCGGAACGCTAGATCAATTCTTAGTGTGTTTTAATGAGCTAAAAGTAAGCTATATCTAATTATTTTGCAATGTGAATTCATCAGAGTTCAGTCTGGACGCACATCTCATATTTTTATGTCCATGCTAAGTCTGGACCTTTATTTTCCTGACGTGCTGGGTTGGGCAGTTCTTTGTCTAATGCCGATGCTATATGACCTATTAATATTATTATTGTATGAGTTTCTGTTAACTGTTTAGTTGGCAGATAGTTTCCTAATTTTGAAATCAGCAAAATTGAAGTTGTAAGTACCGTTGGCTCAATGTTGGACAATGCAATTGTAGGCCATAGTCTTGTCTAATAATAGAGTTGAGTTGATCATATATTTGTTTTGCAGAATGAAATAGTGTTTTCTGTCCTTAGTCTGGTATAAGAACCTGAATTCTGAACTTTAAATGATTTCACCTGGATCATGGATTGTAGGAAACCTCTATGCATAATCATTCTATGCAGATGAATTTTGAAGTAATAAATGCATCATTCTTTTTTATATTCTCCTAATCTGTGATACTATTATTAGGTTGTATTGAAGCAGTGGCTACAACAGAACTTTGAATCAGTTGTCTCTTTGTATGAGGACCGCTTCGAGTTATTTGTCTTATTCAGACAAAAGAAGGATGATCAACTTGATTGTCAAACTACAAAATCTATTTGGAAAAAACTCTTCTTCACCACACAAGCAGTTCCATCCGCATTGAACTGTGTTCAGATCAGCTCACTTTCCTTGAATGTTAAACGCACCAAAGAATTGCAAGCTTTGACTGGATGGTAAGCACACCCAAATTTGCCATAATTGAAATCTCTCCTCATGCGTGTTTATGAAGTCGTTCATGTGATATACTGACATCTGTGACTGATTAACTATGACATGATGAAGATGCTTGGTTGATGTGCTTAACCTTGCAAATGTTGGACAAGACTGGAATCAGACACTTGATAAAATTGTAGATAATTTCCATGACTTGAACTTCTATATTGAGTGAAATATATAATAAAAGATAGAAATTTATGGCCGTCATAAGTTCTTTATCTAAAAGTAAATAGAGGGATAGACATAAGTAAATAGAGAGAGAGAGAGAGAGAGAGAGAGAGAGAGAGAGAGAGAGAATCATACAATGTTAGAATGAAATAGAGAATTTGAGTAAGTTTTCTTTGCAAAAGTAAGTAGCTTTAGTTGGCATAATTCTTCTATGATTTGTGGTAAACATGTCAGTGCTGTGCGGGTAAAGTTTACATGAAGTGCTAGGAATTTTACAGACTAAAAATTCAGAACTTCAAATAGCATGTTTGGAATTGTGCGATTGTTTGAATGGTTTAATTGCATGTCCATTTCCAATTTATATTGACCTGGCAATATTGAGGATGAGTTTATAATGTAGTCTAGAACATAATATCATTGTTTTACATTTGTATGATACATAGTACAGCTCTTTCCTTGAGAACCATGTAGACTGGTTGAATGGTTTATACTGAAGTCCTGAATTAATATGAGTCGCCTTTTGTTGCAGGAGATACTATTTCAGCTTGTTTCTGGAATTCTCTGATGTTGCGATGCCATTGGTGAAAGCTTTTTTTGAGAAGGCAAGGAGTGCTGTATCTTTCTTTCTTGTGTGCATGATTGGTAGGTCTTTAGGACTTGTTTTTTCCGGGATAAGGCAGTCCCTGGGTTGGAAGTAAGAAGGTAATTTTTTTTTTTTTTTTCATAATTACTGCACAGCTTATTTTTGTGCATCAATTTTCATTGTAGGATGGGAATATGATTCGTAAATATCCTTAAAATTGATTACTTGCCCTTCTATCTTCAGTTTTGAATTTGCAAATAGAAGAGAGAAATTGTAGGCTATTTGATTATCAATTTTGCCAAGCAACCTCCAAATTTAATCTTGTAATTCCGCGGGGGCAAGCCATTCAAAGGCTAATGTAATTCTGATGTTGTTAAATTGCATCTTTTACTGATTGGTATTTGTCAATTCATTTTCTGGTGTCTTAAATTCCTACTGAGTTTTATTTGTACGACACTGATATTTTGTTTGCATCTCTATTTATCTGCATTGGCATAAATGCAGGAGTTTTGTCATAAAAAAACTAGTGTGTTTTGTAAATAATCGTTCTTAGGTTAATTAACTTATTTAAGGTTATGTTGATTCAGCTAATTGAGTTGATACAGGAATATCATATCATCTATACCTATACATAAAAGAAAGTTTGTTTTGTACATTGCCTACAATATTATTTTTAGTTTAACCTTTTCATACATTTTGCATGATTGTGATGAGCTTCATCCCAATCATGTCAAATGATAAGTAGTTTCTGTAGCTTAATCCTTCTTCCACTCCATTTATGTGGAAGCATTGCAGATTGGTTTTCATATATTTTGCATGATTGTGATGAGCTTCATCCCAAAACCATGTCAAATGATAAGTAGTTGCTGAAGCTTAATCCTTCTTCTATTCACAGCTGGGCTCGATCCTGTTTTGCTCTAACGGCTTTGATTAAAGTGACACATTTCTTAGTTTTCAGAACATATGCCCCGCAGCAGGAATAAATTCTCTCATGTCATTCCATTTGCCTCTCAAACCAAATATTTTTGGCTACCAAACTGAATCTAGAAGTATCAAATCCTCAAAAAGAGAAATTAAACTGAATGATTTAGGTTTTGTTTGGATGGCTTTCTTATTGCTTCTTAAAACTATTTTTTAATATAAAAATTAAAAATTTTATACTAAAAATTTATTTTAAGAAGCAGTAAGAAAGCTGTTCCAAACGAAGACTTAGGCTTCGTTTGGGACGGTTTTGATACTGTTTCTTAAAGCAGTTTTTAAGTACAAAAATTAAAATTTTTATACTAAAAAGTTACTTTAAGAAGCAGTAAGAAAGCTGTCCCAAACGAAGCCTTAGTTTGATTTCAATTTAGTTTTCGTTTTAGATTGTTTTAAGCATGATTATCCTATCAGAGTTTGAGCTAGCTAATTTTCAATGAGCAACCTGCTTACAGTACTAGATGGTAAATACTATGTTGCTATATCTATCAATGAGCTGAAGTTGCCTGCATGCTGCACAGTTTCATTCTTTCAGAGGGCATGCATGCTGTTTAGGCTTCATTTGCGGTGGCTTTTTTAATACTTTCTAAAGCAGCTTTTTAGTACAAAAAATTTTTAGTTCAAAAAAAAAAAAAAAAAAAACTATAAAGCTACTTCAAAAAGAAAGAAAAAAACCGTCTTAAATGAAACCTTAGTTTTCTTTTATTGAAAAACTAATATCCAAATCTGAAGATTATAAACTTTAACTCTAATTAATTTTCACTTGATAAATGTAACTATATCATTCTGCATCAATAGTGTAATGCTTCTAATGCCTATGGTGGGGACTTTATTTGGCCTTTTGGAAGTCTTAGAAGGGTTTTCTTCTAGATAAACTTTTGAAGTACAAGATGATTTCAATTTCTTAATTTCCTTTTCTCTTTATTTCTCATATAATTGAGCCACCAAATTCTTATTTTCCTTGAGACTTGCTAATATATTTGCTCCTTTATACATAATGGATTTAGGTCACAAGATTGAATCAATTTTAATTCATATAATAGTGTTGTGTTTTTTGTTTTTTCTCTCACATACTACAGAAGTTATTTGGCTTTACTATCTCTTATTTTCCCTAAATTTAAATGGAAAAGCTTCACCTATTGAATTTAAGCATATTGAAATTCATGATGTTGATAATTATGATGATGTTTGAAGAGCATTGAAGTTGCATGAAGTGGTATAAGCGATTAGATTGATTTAAGAGGGAGCATCAAACTTACATAAAGATATTTTAGTGACACAATCATATGCAATAGGTCAAACTCTTAATCGAGATATAATGCATTTTAGTCTAAGAACCTCATATTTTTATCCTTTTATTATAACTTTCCATAATGTCACCCTTCCCATGTGTGATTTTATACGAGCACATAACTTTGGAATTTTTAATTAGTTTTTAATCATTACAATAAAAGACCACAATGTATAAGAGTTTAAATTCATTTTAGTATTTAAAGGATTTCATAATCCCCCCAAGTAATTAACTAATTATCAATCTCTTACACATAACTCATAATCATATATCAAGTAGATCTAAATTTAGATATTGCTCTTACAAGTTTTAAAGATGACTCCCATTATATAGCACTTTATCCTAACATAGGTTCAATAGATGGCTCTTATGACATAAGACTTTATCCTATATGATATTTTGATCTCATCTTTTTTGTAGTGTATTAATTTGATACTATTTGTAACACTCTAAGTTTTAATCTAATTGCCTCACGATTTTTCATCTATATAATTTCTAGGAGATTACTCAATAAATTTTTAACACTTTTGAATTTTTCAATAAATTTTTAACACTTGCATCGAAATGTACATCAAAAGTTATTTTGATATTCAAGAGTCTTATGTCATAAGAATATGAATTGAAACTGCATGAAGAGGAGTGTGACTATGAGGATTTGTTTAATGCCTTTGGGAATTCATTATTATTGAATGCCAGAGAACATGCAGTTGTTTAGGATGGAGCAATTGGTGTAAGTGAGCAAAATGTCATTATCATCATATATAAAAGATATTATTAGGATGTTCCCCAAAAAAATAAAGCCTTATTAATTTCCCCATATTACTAGAGGGTTTTTTGAGTTTTTTGATGTTGATAATTGCTAAAATAAGGAGGAGGGCCAATCTCAATTGAATTGGAGAAGGTTGACCTTTTTAGATCTTGACAATGGGCGGTAGATATTTATAAAGAGATCAATGCTGAGTTTGTCTATGATAATGGGATGACTTTCCATAGGAAACTATAAAAAAATTATAATAGCGTTAAAATAACCCCCAAATTTCGTCTAATAGTGAAAAAAAAAAGTCAAGATTCATAATTCAATGATCTTCATGCAATGAAGGATGATATCTTTTCTAGCTTCTTAGTTGCTCGATCACATGAAGATAAATGTAAACTTATTTGTCAACCTTGAAGAAGCATACATTCATAATCATCAATCTCCTGGTTTTATTATTTAGATTGCTATTAACACCAACCTTAAAAGCTATTGATTTAGATTTTAATAATTTTCTAATAACACAAACGCATAGCACCTTCTTTAATTCATCCTTCTTTATTAGCTACACAATGGTATATCACATCTAAAAAATGATAATGGCTTGATTATACACCCTTCAATCAATTAGAGAATCAAATTGCTCATATTAATACTGAAAAAAATTATCATCTCCCACTCTTTCTAGCTTCTTAATTGATCGATCACATAAAGATAAATATAAAAGTATTAGTGAGCTCTCATGAAACACTCATTCCTTATCACCAATCTCGAGATTCTATTATAAATTTGCTTATCTTATTTAGTTCACCATTAACACTAATAACAAAGCTATTAATTTACACTTAATAGCTTGATTCTAATTTCTAATAACAATAATCTTGGAGCAAGTACACAAAGTCTTGCTCTATAAAGCTCTGCTCCACTTATACCTAAGCGATACCCTAATGCAATAGCTATTATGACCAGTATTTAGTCCTTTTGAGTTGAGTTGGTCTAACCATTTTTATAGATTCAATTTCTTTTCTCCATATAATGTGCTTATTATATCTCAAATCATTACTCTTAGGGTATAAATAGGAACAAATAAGGAATGAATGATTGGCCAATGAGATAGGGAGAGCAATAGGTGCCAATGAGAGCAGGAGAACTTGCAAGCGCATTAGGGCCTTTGCTATCACCCATGAACATGCCAAGCGGGGTTTACAAGTGCGAGCAACCAAATAGAATTATAGCAACACGTGAAATTGAGTGCAAGAGTTTACAAGTAGTGTACTTCGATGCAAATTAATGAAGAAAGTTTTTGGAGTTTTTTTTCCCTCTTCTTTCTCTTACTTTTTTCTCTCTTGATGTTAATAAAGGTAGCTCCTAACCTATTTTTATTCTCCCTTTTTTTCTTCAAAAAATTAATTTGAGGCCCTAAAGTAAATTATGAAATTGCACTAATATATGCTTATGCGCACAAACAACAATATATTGAATTAATATGGTTTATGCAACTCTATGGATAACTATTTCAATAAGATGAAATAGATAAATACTCCATTTCTCATAAAAGGCTTATTTCTTAGCATTTATTATATGCTTCAATCATTAATAATATATATTTTGGAAGATATTTTATTTAGTCATAGTGTTTCACAAGTCATATTGACATGATATGATAGTTAACTTTATTATGTTATTTGTTGCACAAATCTCTATCAAGTTTGTGCATATTAATTTGATTGCTAAGAAATCACAGTTGCCATTGTAATCAATGGGTCGTGAATAGAAGCATGCACAGTATCATCCAACAAAAGAGAGAAAAAGATCAAAAGATTTGGGCTTTCATCAATATCCAAAACAGATGTGAACTCAATACATCTAAATGGATGTCAATCATCTAAATAATTACAATAAATGTTGAGCAATGCTTCATGGTAGAATAGAGAGAAACAAAGCCTTCGTTTGGGACGAATTTTTTCACTGCTTCTTAAAATAATTTTTTAGTACTAAAATTTTTGTACTAAAAAATAGTTTTAAGAAGCAGTAAGAAAGACGAAACAAACAAAGTCAAAGAATCCTTACAAATCACAAATAACACCACAAGGCGGCACACTGTCATGACAATTTTTTTAATTATTTTTAAAATAAATTTTTAATAGAAAAATTTTTAGTTTTAAAAGTTTAAATTAAAAAACTGTATTTTTTTAATATTTAGATCAATTAATATAAATTTGGCATAAAAAGCACAAAAAGATAGGGTTCGATTATTTATAATTACGGGGATTTATATACATACCACTATTTATGTTATTTACATATATAATATTAAAATTTAAAGATAATATGGGTAATAAGAATGAAATATATAGATGATATATTTAATATTAAAATTTTAAATATTAGATCCCATTCACCTCGCTTGCCATGGCGGAAGTCTCGAGTGCTTTCTGCACTTCATTCCTACCAAAATTCCCTAAACTCCCCGTCCTACCGAACATACATGGCTTCGCTGCCTCGGGCCGTGCTTCCCACCGTCTCACTCGCTGCTCGATCTCTGCCGAGCCGATGCCCTCGGGAACCAGCAGCTCGACCATTCCGTGGGGCTGCGAGATCGAGTCTCTCGAAAGTGCTTTCGCGCTGCAGCGGTGGCTCTCGGAGTCGGGACTTCCTCCCCAGAAGATGGACATCCGGCGAGTTGACGTTGGCGAGCGTGGACTCGTCGCCCTCAAGAGCATCAGGAAGGGGGAGAAGCTCCTCTTTGTCCCCCCTTCCCTCGTAATCACGGCAGATTCGGTCTGTTTGACACTCCCTTTTCTTTTCAAGGGGGTGGTTGGCTAGAAGTAGGATTTTTTAAATCCTGTAAATCCAGATTTAGTATATCTTGAGAGGTTTACAATCTGAGAACTGTTTCACAAAAATGATGCTAAATTCTGATAAACTGATTGACTATCTGTTTCGGGATTTAGGAATTGTGTGATCAATAAATTTTTAAATTAAACCCTGTGAATTGTTATAGACTATGTTTAGTCTATAACTATTTATCAATCTAATAGGATTTTGTAGATGACCCTTGTAGGTTTAAGAGGTGGCTCCTCCCATGTAGCATTCTTCCTTAAATGAGTTAAAGAAGTGGCTCTCACCATATAAAGTTTTGCACCAAATGAGTTCATGAACTGGCCTCAAGATCTAGTATTTTGTCTTTAATTGACACTTTGTTACCATCTTCTAGCTCATGTATGGCTTCAGCACAAAGTAACAAATCAATTTCTATTTATTGAGGAATTACTTGTTTGAGCATTGAGCTTTCAGTTTTGTTCTCATGGTGCAAATTCATAAGGAGGCCACCCATTCTAGGAGTGCTTTAGCATGAGCACATTAACTCCTAATGGTTACACGGAAAGTCACCTAAATGTTTATGAGTTCTTACTTTGCTATACTGAAGAGATCTTGTATTAGGGTGGTGAAAGATAGTGCATATGGAGTTAAGATAGCATATCATGGAATCACTACTTAACTATGTGGAGAGTTTTAGGATGTGGGGGCTATTATTAACTCAATAGTGAATTTTAAACCTTCAATATCTCACCTTTTATTTTAGTATATCTGACTGCATTAATAGGACTTGAGACATATTGAAGACCTGAACTAGCTAAAGGTGTGCTGGAATGACGAATGAGTAACAATATTTCAGGCAGTTGGTTTAGTTTTGATTGTTCTGTTGTTTTTTTATCTTATTGTGCTGTACTTTTCTTGGAAGAAACTCTTTAGATAGATGATCATGTTTTATTTTAACAAATAGGATTAATTTTTGTTTATTACTGCCTAAGTACTTTTGAGATTTGTTGCTATATTCTAGTATATTTTTATCTATTTTCATGAGGAATATCTGTGTACTCAAATCTCTCAGATATGATTTTTGCCTTTTTGAGTTTCCAATTACTTTTAATCCTGTTTGTAGGAGTGGACAAATACAGAAGCAGGTTATGTGATGCGGAATAATTCTGTTCCTGATTGGCCTTTGCTTGCCACCTACTTGATCAGTGAAGCTAGTCTTAGAGATTCTTCAAGATGGAGTATATACATTTCGGCCTTGCCTAGGCAGCCTTACTCACTGTTGTACTGGTATGTTAGAAACTTTAAATCTGAGTAAACTTCAAAATTAGAAGAAGATGGAGTTGCTAATGATGACAATTTCATAGAGAATGCAAATTACTTTGTTCTCTTCAAGAATGTAATTTTAGATTTCTTCTCCACAGCTTTTATATATCATTGCAGGACACGTGCTGAACTTGATATGTATTTGGTAGCTTCACAGATTAGGATCAGAGCAATTGAACGGGATTCTGATGTAACGGGAGTGTGAGCTATTATCCATCTTTTGATTTATTTATTTTGCCCGTACTGTCATTTGTGCATGTTTCATCACTCACATTTTTTACTTTTTAAAGATTTTAAGTTTATTTGGTTTTTTGAGCATTTAAGGTAGCGTTAAAAACAATTGTCTTGTTGCACATGTAGATTTAATGATTTAAGGGCCAGGATATTTTCGAAGCACCCAACGGTATTTCCTGAAGAGGTACTCAAGGAAATTTCATTCACTTATGAACTCGTAAATTTATTATTCTTGTATTTGATTTAGATCATACTGATAAATTGATGCTAGATGATGATCTAATCGTAGAGTAAATTTCAGTGACCTACTCCAATTTAAGGTGTTTGGCTGAGTGATTTGCGGCCAATCTTTGCATGCTTGCCACAATTTCCATATTTTGTTGGTTATTCAATGTAAAATTTAAAACACTTTAGTTCTATTTAACCATGCTTGGTACTTGTATTTTGTCTCAGGTATTTAACCTGGACACATTCAAATGGTCCTTTGGCATTCTGTTCTCTCGTCTAGTAAGTATTTATACATTGCTAGTCAATTCGGTAAAGTTTTCTAGTCCTCAATTATGACTCCCGTTGTTGGATTTATTGTTATCGTTGATTATATATATATATATATATATATATTCATTAGTTTGATAATGTTTTCACTTTCTAGGTACGTTTATCGGCTATGGATGGAAAAGTTGCCTTAGTTCCTTGGGCAGATATGCTTAACCACAATTCAGAGGTATCTTTTGCATGCATGGCGCATCAGATCAATTTTCTGACATTGCGCTGGAATGTTTGCTGATGGAAAATGAAGATGAAAGTTCTGCAGTATCTGTTAGCTGCATAAAATATTTGATCATTTTTTTGTCATTGTACTGGAAAGGTGTAGAATGAAGCTGGTGATAGTCATTACTTTTTGTTATGCATGTGTTTTCTTTTTTGTCAAAGTCATAGGCTTACACAGATTGTCTAACGCATTTGAAAAATAACCTCACTGGGCTCCAAAATTATGAAATAAATGTAGCGGGGAGTGTCATCTTCTCTACACGTGAATAGGTTCACCAGCTCAACTAGAATATTTCAACATCACATTGCAGATGCTTAGGATAGCGCAGTGATGATAGTACTGTTAACATAAACATCAGCCCCTACAAATGGTTCCCTCAACGGTTCAACTAGCAGAGCAGCATTCGACTTCCATCCGATGATCTCTTATTATTAGCAACCCTGCTCTCTCCCAGAATAGTGAAAACAAACCACAGCGTAGCTGGCCAAATAAGTGATTTTTTGTCATGGTTTGGGCTGTTATGATTCATTGTTGCTAGCTAAGTTGGCTGAAATGGTTCCTGAGAATGCATGATCATGTCATTAGTTGCATATGCGTGGGCTCCAAAAATTAGCGTCCCAGCCTCTCCACTGACCCTTTTCTTTTTTTTTTTTGGGTCGTCGAGGAGAGTTTTAACAAGTTTCGAGGCAAATTTTCAGAAGGCAGATTGGATTGTGAATAAGACATCACCCAAAGATTTCACCCTCATTTTTGTCAGGACTTCATAATCTGAGTTCAGGTTTCCTATAGGCTGATGTAGGGAAGGGGGGGGGAGTTTGATGTAGGTAGGGGGGGGGGGGTCAAAACAACTTGGTCTTTTTGTTCTTTGGGCTGCTTGCTGTCTCTTGGTTTGGGCCTTGTTTGCTCTCGGGTTGGGCTTTAGCTGCTTTGGTTTTGAGTTGAAATTTTGGGATCTACTTGTGATCTAGCTCATAAATGCTTGAGCTGATGTTAAGCTTATTAATGTATAAAGGTATTCTTTTATAAGCTCATTATTGTGGAGTGGACTTGTGTCTCTTTCCCTTCTCTTTACCCCTTCGGTTTCTTCTCCTCTGGTGCTCTTTCCGAAGTGTGGTTCATTCCCCTTGCTATGCCGATTGCTCTCTGTTACCTGGCTGCCCGTTGGGATTTCCTTTTTACCGGTTCTGTTTCCTGTTGCCCATTGGGTCTTCTCTATTTGCCGGTTCTGTTCCTGGCTGCTATCCCATGGATGTTATAACCGGTTCCTGGGTGGTTTTTTTAGGTTGCTTTGTGGCTGACCCTTGACCTTTCATTTCCCCAAACCTGATTGGTTTTGGTTAGAGGTGGAATGGATGTTTGGCTTCTTTCTTTTGCACATAAATTGGAGATAATTGGGGCTGTTTGGCTGCCCTCTTTTCTCCTATAAATATAAGGTGTTTGGGCAAAGTTAAAAGTGGGTTATGATGTGATTTTTGGAGCTAAAAACCTGAGAGATTTTTCTTCTTGGAAAAGCTTGCGAGCTTGTTCCACCTCTTCATCTTCCTCTAGGAAAGCTTGCGAGCTTGTCCTTTCTTCGTCTGGGTCTTCTAACACCTTTCTTCTCTCCGCAAGATCGACGTCACTTGTATCCTTCTTCTTAATCCAAGAAAGCAACTTTATGTATATTTTTATGTTTGTGTTTGTGTCAAAGTTTGTAAGTCTTTCATCTTATAAAAAATTGTAGTTTGTTGTTTTTTTTGAGAATTTGATGTATTTTCTTTATCCTAGGAAGCGTGTGTGTTTTTGCTCGCAAAAATTTAGGGCTTTTCCCAAATTTTTGCTTGCATCAATTTGGTATCAGAGCCTAGGTTTGTTCCTAGGTCTTGTTTCGTGTTTTTTTTAAGTGTTTAAAAAAATGGAAAAAAAAATTGAGTCAGTTGTGGGAGAATGCAGTCCAAAAGATCTTGAAGTCCCACTTCCGATAGACAGATGGATTTCGACGGAAGGAAGTTCAACAAATCCCCTGCATAATGAGATATGCAAACTTCAGTTGTGGTTGCATATGAGTACGAAAAATTATTTGAAGAAGAAACAACTTCTACAAGAACAATTCAAGCGAGAGCAAGACAAGATGTTGAAAAGGTATGCAACAAAAATTCAAGAGCTTGAGGCGCATGCTTTGCCTCCTCGGAAGAAATCTAATGACAACTCATCGGGAGATGAGCATTTTCAACCGAAGGAGAATTGATGTAAGCAAGGGGGGGGGGTCAAAACAACTTAGTCTTTTTGTTCTTTGGGCTGCTTGCTGTCTCTCGGTTTGGGCCTTGGTTGCTCTTGGGTTGGGCTTTAGCGGCTTTGGTTTTGAGCTGAAATTTTGGGATCTACTTGTGATCTAGCTCATAAATGCTTGAGTTGATGTTAAGCTTATTAATGCGTAAAGGTATTCTTCTATATAGCTCATTATTGTGGAGTGGACTTGTGTCTCTTTCCCTTCTCTTTACCCCTTCGTTTTCTTCTCCTTTGGTGCTGTTTCCGAAGTGTGGTTCATTCCCCTTGCTGTGCTGATTGCTCTCTATTACCTGGCTGGCCTTTGGGATTTCCTTTTTACCGGTTCTGTTTCCTGCTGCCCATTGGGTCTTCTCTATTTGTCGGTTGTGTTCCTGGTTGCTGTCCCATGGATGTTATAACCGATTCCTGGGTGGTTTTTTTAGGTTGCTTTGTGGCTGACCCTTGGCCTTTCATTTCCCCAAACCTGATTGGTTTTGGTTGGAGTTGGAATGGTTGTTTGGCTTCTTTCTTTTGCTTATAAATTGGAAATAATTGGGGCTGTTTGGCTGCCCTCTTTTCTCCTATAAATATAAGGTGTTTAGGCAAAGTTAAAAGTGTGTTATGATGTGATTTTTGGAGCCAAAAACTTGAGAGGATTTTCTTCTTGGAAAAGCTTGCGAGCTTGTCCTTTCTTCGTCTTGGTATTCTAACCCCTTTCTTCTCTCCGCAAGATCGACGTCACTTGTATCATTCTTCTTAATCCAATAAAGCAACTTTAGGTGTATTTTTATGTTTGTGTCAAAGTTTGTAAGTCTTTCATCTTATAAAAAATTGTAGTTTGTCGTATTTTTGAGAATTTCGTATATTTTTTTATCGTGGGAAGCGTGTGTTTTTGCTTGCAAAAATTTGAGGCTTTTCCCAAATTTTTGCTTGCATCGTAGGCGCAAGCCGTTATAGTTATTTACCCCTCCCTATAACGAGAGAGAACTTTTGATTAAGGCTAGTCGTCAAACAGATGCATAGTATCTGGCTTATAGTAGTAGTATGATTTTGATATTTGAAATTTAATATTTAAAATTAGAACTTTACCACCTTATACTTAAAAGTAGATGATGGCGGGATTGATGATAGACCCGATCAAGATCCCATGGTTTTTTCGTCCTGGGTCATCATAATCCCTAGTCTACTTAGTCAGATGAAGTAGTCGACCAACCTAATAGAAGTATCATTGTCGGCAGCCATGGGTTGTTTCGTCCAAGCATAGCTTGTAGACATGAGGTGAATATTTACCTAAGGGGACATTTAAATCCACCTTGCTAACAGAGGACTTTGTGCTCTATCGATTATATTCTGTTGATTCATACCTTAAGGATTTGAAGCCATTGGGGAACATGCGGGCTCTGACCATAACCGTAATTTAGGGGTGTTATTTGGCTGAAAAATCACCCGGTTCAGAGGGTCCCGATCATAACCGTTTACTTGTGGTGTCATTTGGCGGCGGAACCATCGGTTAGAGGACATGTGCCACGTCCTTACTAGTAAGAGACTATTTGAGAATGAATCATATTGATATTCTTGATCGGACATTAGCTCTTTGTGAGCTGAAGTAATTTTCATATTTGTCCACATCGGCAAATTGTTATAGATGGTGGATGAATTTTGCTTTAAGCATTTGATGATTTGTTTCATTTGAAATATCTTAATTGGGTGAATTTTAAATTTTTGAATTTTTATGAGCATTTGGGAGGCATCTTTAAATGTTCGTGGTCCCCTCTTGTTGGGATTTTCTATCAACACAACCTTCATCGGGGTTTTTATGGGCAATTTTATTTTATCAGTTGAACCTTGTTGGCTTTGTCTCCTTCCCAACAGAGAATAGAGTTCGTTGTCGGCTTTATTCTTTTATTAGTGAAGTTTTCTTGTTATAGACCTTGAAGGCTTAATATGAATGTACAAAATATATATCTTGGTCAATGCCATAGTTATATATTTGTTCGATAGTTCGAGCCGTGTCAACTCTTATGTACTCACATAGGAGGCTCGGGCTTGAATTTAGGTTCATTTCTTGACCTGCGCAGCATCCTCAGACGTCACGTGTGCATCTACAACATCCTCACCAAGGCCCATGCGGGTGTATACTTTTACATGCATTTTGCATGATGCATTTATATGATGGATGTTTGCATGTAATGTAGAAGGTGAATATGACATATCTCCGTGCTCGCATACACCTTTGCACTTTTATCTGCATGTTTACATGCTCACGTATACACCTATATATTTACATGCATACATGTATGTTGGCATTTTGCATTTGCACGCTGTTTAATCTTATTTGCGTGATATTTTGCATGTTGTGTATTGGCCTGATACAATGGTATATGACATTTATGTGTGATGTATTTATGTATCACCTATTTGCTTGCATAATGATAATACATGTATGCGTACTATGTTGGCATATAAATGTGGTACATTGTTGTAGCATAATGCATATTGTTCTACCAAGTGATATGTTTGCATAAATTATTATGCCTATTTCAATGCATGAAGGGGGTTATTTTAAAATGTTCGGCACTAATCAGTTGTGTGGGCAACTATCATTTGAATGTACGCAACGTTCTATTCAGATGCTTGTAGACGCCTTTTGTATGCTTGTACGAGTGTTGCAGATCCGGTGGTAGAGAGTCCGGCTTATGTGGTTCGGATGATTGATGGCTTGAGTTGCAGACGAAAGATTGGAAGGATCAAGGGATCCGATTGGAGGTCAATGGCCGGTTGAAGTGGCTTTGGTTGACAAGGCTGGGTCGATTGAGCGAAGGGGATCATGCATGGAAGAAGTCGAAGAAGCAGGGGCGGAGGGGTAACGAAGAGTCCCCATTTCGTTCTCATTTTTATGAAGGGGCAGAACTTCGCTCGAGGAGGCATAGCAACGATTAAGGCTTTAGCTTCAGCAGGATTTCTGCGAGATTTTGGGGATTTGATCAGAGTCAGAGGATTTGATTTAAAAAATAATAATTATTTTGCATTATCATTATTATTATTAAATGACATAAATGAGTCAATCACTCAAAATTGCCTCGATTTACGCGTCGTTTATCTTAATCCACATTTTGCCTCGGAATGCGCGACGATTTCCTTGCATGACTTTCATTGAACAAATTTATAGTCATTTTTTGGTATTGTCGGAGTTTTGAAAGAAACAACAAAGTCCATTTTGCGATCAGACATTTGAGCAGAGACGCGCATCAATTTCGGGCGTTGGTCGCCAGTTTCAACCATTTTCGCTCGATTTGACTGTGAGGGGTCCCCCCTAGTCGAATTAGATTCTCTGATCACAATAGCACAATCTGTTTGGCGATCAGAGGTTGTTTGACTCTTCAAGTGATGCGCCGCGCCGCGCCGCTCCGATGCTTGCGTCACTTAATTCACCGATTTTGCATTTTTCGCGTGTTTTGAGTGTACGGGTCAACAATATGATTAACTTTTCAGAATATAGACTTTTTTTTATAAGCGGCAGTTAACCCGGTACCTATGAAAAAAAAAGTTTTTGTTTCTATGTCTTTGTAGAACACTGGATTCTGTTGTTATGACTATGCTATTGCTATTTCATAATTATGATGAACTTGCAGAATGTTCTTATTTATCATTGTTTTTCTTAATCCAAGTTTCTTTTCCGATTGTTTCAGGTAGAAACATTCTTGGACTATGATAAATCATCAAGAGGAATAGTTTTTTCCACTGATCGAGTTTATCAATCTGGTGAACAGGTAAATGGTTTTTAAATTTGCTGGCCTTAGGGAGGGATATATTGTTTTATCATATGTAATATTGAGTGAAAACTGATTTTGGGAACATGCTGTGGATCACACTAAGGGAAGAAATAATTATTTCTTATTCCAGAAAGTATTAGATACAAGTTAGCATGTATAGGTTGGTCTAAGAACGAATAAAGAAAATATTTACAGTAATATAAATAAATAAAAATTTTTAAAATAGGTCATAAATCCCCATCTTTACCATGAATCTATGGCAGGATCTTGATTTCTTTCCTCAAATGAATTTGTGAGATTTTGATTTTTCATAGGACAATATTTCGCCTAGGAAAGGTGTAAAATTTAGGGGTAGATTTTCTATTAATAAGTTAATCCACATAGTTAGCATCTTTGTAGTGTTTAAGTCCTAATTTTTTGCTTATTTTATACAAACTGTGTTTATTCTAAGTAAATTCCCCTGGTAGGATTAGCTTACAAGTAACGAATAATTTAATGAATAGCCTAAAGGTAAATCTCCTTTGGCTCATCTATGAATTGACTTAACACACACAACATAAGCTATATCTAGCCCCATAAGTGCAAGATACATAAGTTTTCCTACAACTTATTGTACATGTCTATGTTCGCCTTAAGTTCTTTTGCTTCTCATAATTTATGATTTGGGTCAATTGGTGTATAAGCGGGATTACAAGCCATATTTCTTGTTTCCTTTTGTAGATTTGTGACATACTTTTGTTGTGAAATGAAGATACCTTGATATGAGTGATCTACCTCAGTTCTTAAGAAATATTTCAATTTTATTAGCTGTATTATCTCAAATTCTTTGATCTAACACGACTTAGAGACTTCTTTGTGCCTCATCATCTCTTACTATAATTATATCATTCACATATGCTAACATTTCGTGACTCCCTTTCTATCCGAATGTTTAATTAGCAAGATGTGATATGTCGGAGTTTGCTTATAATATTCAGAAAGTGAATAAATTGGCATTCTTTATTTTTAAACAAACTTAATAATGTTAGAAGTCCATCATCTCAATCTGGTCTATCAATATAGTTTTTAACCGTGTCAATTTATTTGAATTTTTGGAGGCTTGGAAACTGTAATAGTTGGTTAATTAGTTTGAGAAAATGCCTTAATTAGTAATATCATGTAGCTTACCATTTTTCAGGAGAATATGAGGATTCATCTAGCTTTGTGCTGAATGTTTTGCTCACGTATCTTGAACATTTTGTACTTTAAATAGTATATCAATTTTTTTGAAACGAAAATATGGTAAATATTAAGTTCTATCTTTAATTAAAAAAAAGTCCTATGATAGTATTACATAACTCGGAGAAGCTAACAACGAACTAAATAACACATGGAGCTGGAAAGTACCTTCTCTGTATGGTACGTCTTATCAGCTCAAATTGCAATTGGGAGTTTTAAGTTTCATTTTCTTCTTTCTTAATAGATTATTTGATTTTGAAGGTGTTTATTTCTTATGGCAAAAAGTCCAATGGAGAATTGTTGCTTTCATATGGGTTTGTTCCAAAAGAGGGCACAAACCCAAACGATTCAGTTGAATTGTCCTTATGTCTTAAGAAGGATGACAAATGCTACAATGAGAAAGTGGTCGCCTTGAGGAAACATGGTCTCTCCACGTAAGTATTGAACCATCAATTTTTAGGTTTAGCCTCAGATTATTGTTCCTATTATTGTGTAATGATGGTGATCTCCATGCTTGCTACTTGGGTCATTACAAAATACTAAATCTTCTTTTTTTTTTTTTAAGTTTTATATATCTTAATGCAATTGCATCCTTAGAAAGACCAGTATGTAGCCCATTTTATCGTTGTGCTAAAGTTAATGCCTTTTAGTGACCTAGGTTTCTTCTCATTGGTCTAAATTACCCTTTTAAATGATCAGGGTGTAAATGTGCAAGATTTGTTTGGGTTCATCTCATTTGTTAATCTTACAAGCTGTTAGAGAATACCAAGATTGAATGTCTAACATATATATATATATATAGACACACACACACACATGCAGAAACAAGTACAAGCATGCATGCACCCTCAATCGTATACATGGGCATTTTCTGTTTTTTGTTTTTACTTATTTTTAAAATTGTTATAAAGTTGAATGTAAAAGAGCCTAGCTATTTTCGCATTTGGCTCATGATGTAAATTAGACTGTAAAATGAGAGAAACTTGCTAATTATTGAGTCAAACGCTAGCTGTTCTTGAACATGGTGCCAATGATTGTCTCTAGGTTGAGATTGCTTCCATTACTTCTACCCTCTCTGAATACTGCACTTGCTCCTCTAGATCTCTTAGTGGCTGCCATTACCACGAGTCACCTCTCCCATTACTTTCTTAAGCCACTCTAGAAAGCATAGGATTGGGCTTCAACATTGCTACAATGTCCTCTAATTGGTCCACACATATCCTGCAATCTGAAAATGCCTATTCCATGTGTAATAGTTCATAACCAGATCTGGAGTAGTTTAAGATTCTTTAGCATAATATGATGCTTCTATGTTCAAGTCATGGAAATATCCTAAAATTAACGTTTAAGGCTACTTATATCAACCCCTCCCCAAACTCTGCATTAGCAGGAGCTTTGTGCATTTTCTATGCTCTTTCCATCCACCTCTCCCTCCTATAATGCATTACCAAAACCATCTCCTTTGTAGTGCTATCACCAACTGAGCCGGCTCATCGCTTCTTGCCCTTTCATTAGTGTTTTCCTGAGGCAACACACTATTGTCTAGCAAACTACCTCTACTCCTTCCACACTTAACAAACACAAATTGAAATCAACACTTTCCTTCTTTCATTTAATGTAAATGGGATAATGATGGATCAGTCATTGGATCGATCCAGCCGGTCTGCAATGGACTAGCCAGGTCTACACAAGGTGGAACAGCCTTTAAAAAAAAAAAAAAAGTGGAACAGCCTTATGTGCCGCTCAAACCGTGGGATCCAATAGCGCCTATTAGGAAGGTTTTGGGAGGGATTTAGGAGGGAAATTTGAATGTAGGGACTGTTTAGAGATTTCCTTTTAGATTGTTTGTATTAAGGAGTAGGTTTTCCGTGGGATTAGGGCATCGTGACTTAGACTGATTTTTTCTGTTTTGTTCTCGCTGTTTTGGTCTCTAGCGGTGTCTAGGTAAGTTGGGAGAGAAGGATCTTCCTCTCGAATTGAAGATCTATTGTATCTTGATTGTTTTCTTGCATCTTCACCAATTATCAAGTTCCTTGGTGATTTACCACCACAAATTTCCAGATTTCTATTTTATTTTTGCTGAAATTCCAGATTGCAGCACGGTTTGCTCTAGTTATCATGCACGAATTTCCTATCAGATCAGTCTTTGGTAAGGTTGATTTTGGAGGAGGGGAGATGGGTAGTGGTCAGGTTTCTATGTGCTAGGAGGTGTGATGCAACACATGGACCCAAATTAAAACCATCGCTAGACCAGACTCTAGGTTGAATCAAATCGATTTATTAAGTTAAATTGTGTTTACATATTAGTCTTATTTTTATTTAAATAAGGTAGAAATGATCCTTTTGGATGATCTTAGTTTTAGAAAGTTTTCTTGTGGTTAATATTGGTTTTTAAATTTCAATTAGATGATAAAAATTGATTTTAATTTGGATTAGATGATAGGATTAGTTTTAACTTTGAATTGTAAACTCTATTTCATTATTATTATGCATTGAAATTAAGAATTATTTTTATATTTTCTTTCTCTCTCCTCTCTCCCCCATTGCGAGTGCATCCTCAGTCTTACCGGAAGCAGAATTATTGACCCTTCTCTTTCTCTATCCACATGATTTCTCTTTGATTGAAAGAGGCATGGTTCCTAAAACTATCCATTTTATTTTTTCTTTGGCTATTCATGTTTTAGCGCCCATCAATCAGTTTATTACTTTATTCAATGAAGAGAGCCTTCCTCTCTTTCCCGTCTCTAGGTTCTCTCCCCAAATCCTAACTTCCAATGAGCAAAATTATTGGTGATTGCATTTATGAAGACAGTTTCGTAATTTTCTTGCCCTTTTGTTTTTTTAATTTTTATTTTTATAATTTGGAACTGCACGCCCAATATACGTTAGTAGAAACCAAAATTTGATTGGACAACCGCATTTTTGTTGGAGTAAATAGATTTTCTAACATCATATTACAAACCAGCACAGGCTATTATCTGATTGCACCGTCGCAAGTCACTGCAACATCCCAATTTTCAGCCTCTTCATAAAAACTTTGTAACCAGCTCATTGTGTAGTTCTTTGAAACCTATTATATATTAAAATGTAAAATTACGTTAGCTGAAAAACTTCAGAGCTGTAAAATTACGTCAGCTATCTTCCCCATTCATGGGAGCTTTACCATGATTGCTTGTTAGTGAGCCTTCTGAGTCCCTTTTCCAACAAAATGACTTCTCACATTAAAGCTTGTGAAAATGACTTGTAATAATTTCATTGAGAAGTCTCTTAACTGTGTTTCTGTTGAAGTTAGCGTTGTCCACTCAAAAAAGGAGATAAAGTGGGTTCAATCGGCATTTACAGTTCTGTTCTCTAAATAATACTTTTGACATGAATGGTTAATTATACTTGTATCCATGCTGCTGTAGACCATTTGAACAGCTGAGATATTTATGTATGATGATGTTCCTTTTATTAAATGAGCAGGCCTCAGCAGTTTCCTATGCAGATCACTGGCTGGTCCCTGGAAATGATGGCGTATGCTTACCTTGTTGTTAGCTCCTCTGATATGAGGCAACGATTTGATGAGGTTTGCTTTTCCCGTCTTAGAAAAAGCACTTTCTAGCGTTTATGACTTCTGTTTCCTTATTTTTGGAGACTTGAAAACAATTTGGTAAAAATTAGGTTGTAATATTGTACTTTATTGTTGTGAGCAGAGCCATACAAATTTGCTAATATGCATGGTCGGCTATGATTTAAGGCTGTTTGTTTTGAGCTATTAGGAGTGTAAAGGGAATTCATGAGTTTTGAGTTTTCAAATATTTAGTATATAAAATATATGTAAAGTATATTTGTAAGTAATTCAGAACATCTCCTGAGGCTCATTTTTGACTAATCTGGAAATCACTGAATTGGATGAATCCAAAATTTTACCTGTTCTATAACTCAATGTCTTCTGGAAGGTGACGTTGTAAGAGTATTTGATCATTTTTAATCTCTGATAATTGCAGATGGCTGCTTGTGCGGCCGGCAAAACCAAGTCAAGAATGGAAATCAATTATCCTGAACTTGAAGAGCAAACTCTACAATTTATATTGGACTGCTGTGAATCCAGCATATCGAAATACTCCAAATTCTTAGAGGTATCAGACTTGAAAACTATTTTAATGCAAAAAAAATCCTTCTAATTTTTGCAATTGCATTCTTCATAACTGAATGCCTTCCTTTTAGTTATTGATTGAACTTTTCGGCAAGCAATTTTTGTACCTTGATTTCAGTTTGAATGTGGAGAAAAGCAATTTTTGTACCTTGATATACTTTCAGAAGACATGCTATTTAAAAATGGCTTGCATTTGTAGAAAATGAATAGACTGAATTAAGGTGCTGTCTTAAGATTTATGTTTTGTTTGGGATAGCTTTCTTACTGCTTCTTAAAGTAGCTTTTTAGTACAAAAATTAAAATTTTTGTACTAAAAAGTCGCTTCAAGAAGCAAGAAGAAAGCCGCCCACTTCATTTGGAACGGTTTTCTTAGAAGCAAATTCCTTATAATCTTAATGTTTCAATATTAAAATGGTTGCAAGGTTTACAAACAATTCAAAAATCTACTTATGACATTATACTGAATTTTTTAAACTAATAATTTATCTTTTGAGAGCTATGAATCTGACTTTTTTTTAATCTGAACTTTCAAGGGTGGTAGTCCTCCTGATCCTATAACAACAAATGCACAAGAAGCAAATAGAAGACTACTATTGAAACAGCTTGCAGTAGCTCTGTGCACGAGTGAACGCAGAATACTGTTTCGTGCACAGTATGTAAGTAGCTAATCCCATTGATAAAATCCTCTACAGATTGATCTTCAGCTGATGAATTTTTTTTTAACTATGTAATTTGACTACAATAATATTTATTTTGGAATTTACATGGAATGCAGATACTCAGGAGAAGGTTGCGGGACATTAGAAGTGGAGAGTTAAGAGCTCTTACGATTTTCAATGGATTCAGGAAACTCTTCAAGTAAATTTCATAGTTTAAGGATTGCATCGTATGATCTTCAATAGTATTTACCATAAATAATTGAAGGATTTTTTTAGCTGTGGAGAGTCTTTGAAAATGAGCTTGACATCTTAGTTTGTTTCAAATTTGCTTCTGAAAACAGGATAGATGATTTTTTTGTTTACCTGTATGAATAGTTATTTAGAAATGGTGTGAAGCTAGCTATTTTCTTATAAATATTTTGAAACAGCTGTTAGAAAGTATTTTTCTGATAGTAAAAGTGTAAAAATAGAAATAATTTTAAATTTATATCCTTAGTAATCTAAAACATAAAAAACGCTCATCATTCATGCTAACATATAAAGTTTTTTTTTTGTGTTATTTATTGATTTTTCACTCCATTAAAGTTTAATTTTTTTAAAAAATTATTAAAGGACTATAATTTTAAGCATTTTTAGTGCTTTTTTAAGTGCAATTTTGTAATTGATTAAGGTTTCATTTAGTACGATTTTTTTATTATTTTTTAAAATAGAGGTTTGGTATAAAAATTATGTTTTAGTGCAAAAAATTTAATTTTTGTTATAATTTTTTTTAAATCATTTAAAAAATTATCCAAAATGAAGCCTAAATTGATTGCAGTTGCCTTGCCGAAACAAGTGAGCCTACAGGCATAGTTTGGTCAGACTCCCTTTTAGGTTTCGTTTGGGATAGTTTTATTATTATTTTTTAAAACAGCTTTTTAGTATAAAAAGTTTTAATTCAAAAAAATTTTTAACTAAAATATTATTTTAAAAAGTATTAAAAAACTGTCTCAAACAAACCCTTAGCCTCGATTGGATAAGCTACTCTGGTTGGGATGGACTTTTAGGGTTTAGGGCAACGAGTTTACTTTAGAATTTGTGTGAAGCTCGGGAAATTTGATATTTTATCTCTCAAAATGTCTGTTGTGATAATATCTCTAAAATATTTTACCTATTAAAACACTCTTAATGAGGGATAGTTTTTGTAAAATAAATTATATTTTAATGTTATAAGTATAGTTAATCATATTTATTCTCTAAAAGTGGAAGCAAGAATATAAGTATAGTTAATCATATTTATTCTTTTATTCATCTCTTTGCAGTTCTCATTTTTATATGAAAATAAATTATATTTTAATGTTATAATCCAAATTTTATCCTGATAATTAATAAAAGCATAGTTAATAAAAAAATTAATTTGTACTCCAATCGGAAACAAATTTCTAGCTCTACTACTGAATGTAGAATCAAGAGAAAGGCCTATGATAAGATCATAAAGCAAAGCTTTAGATTAAGATTTGGGTCATTTATTTTCCCAAAAAAAAAAAAAAAAAGGTTATTTATCATACACAATTCTTCACACATGCTCATGGACATCCCAAAATTCTCTTTAAATCATGAGAGAATAATTAAAAAAAGTTTAATTTAAGACCCTTTGATGAGAGGTGGGTCATACCAGTCAAGAAGGTATAATTTCAAACTCTTGTTAGAAAACTTAGTTTTTTTTTTTAATAAAATTCTATTTAGCCTCAAAAGCATTGTCCCTCTCTCCCCCAAAAACTTTATAAAATTTTTATATTCATATTATTTATTCTTTATTAAAAAAATTAAAATGGAAGTATATTTAATCACATTTATTATTTGTATTTATTTTCATGAAGCTCTAATTTTTATTTGAAAACAAATTACATAAGATATTACAATCAAAAGTTTTTCTTGATAATTAATAGAATCTTAGTTAATGAAAATGGAATTAATTTGTGCCCCCACTAGAAATAAACTTATAGCTCTAGCATTGAATGTAGCGCAAGTGAGAGGCCTAATAAAATAAAATCTTGTATAAAGATTTGGATCATTTATCTTGCATAATTCTCCACGCAAGTCAATAAACACCCCCATCCTAAAATTCTCTTAAAATCATGGCATAATAATTAAAAAGTTTAATTTAAAGCATATTTATATATAGGTAGGTGGGCTATACTAGTCAAGATTTAGGTCTTTTTGGTAAAATTATATTTAGCCTTAAAAGCATCACATTTAATATAATATATTTAACACAGCTCACATTGATTTGTTGGTTGAGAGCTTATGCTTCCAACTAAGAGGTCTTGGATTCGAGTCTTGTGTATGCGTGGTGTGTGTGAGTTTGCCTTAAATGATCTAAATTTTTCAAAAAAAAAAAAAAAAAAAAATTAATGCATGCAAAACAAAATTAATATTTTATGAATTTAATTTGTAAAGCAAACAATCTTTTCAAATACTAATAATTACTAAGAAGCATATGAAGCTTAAATGATGACCACATAAATATAATTTCTAGTTATTTTGTTTAATTCTAATTCAAGGTAAGATTTTTATTTGTGGAACACGCATTTTCTATTTAAGGAATCTAAATAAAATGTTAAGTTTTGGTAGGTTCACACAAATGTAAAATTAAGTCTTTTGGTGGTGGCGATAACTTAGATAAAAGCAAATTTCTATAGAGTTGTCAAATAACACGTAATTTTTTGGTCGTGGTGATAACTTAGATGAAAGAAAATTTCTATAGAGTTGTCAAATAACACGTAATTTCACACAAACACAGCTCGCCTTGGCCTGTTGGTTGAGAGCTTAAGCTTTCAATCAAGAGGTCTAAGGTTCGAGTCTTTGTGTATGCGTTGTGTGTGTGAGTTTGCCTTAAATGACCAAAATGTCCCAAAAAAAACACGTAATTTTTTTAACATAAACTACTAAATAAGAAAGGTTAAAGCTTTGGGATGATAGAAATAACAACATTTATTAAAGAAAAATAAATCCTATTTGCAAGGTACCACAATCTCTTTTGTTCTTGAAAAATTAGATTTTGACTTAAAAATTTTCAATTTCTACTGCAAGCGATATATATCTTCAAGCTACTTGACCTTAACTTATTGGGATCCCTTAGCTCTGAAGCCACTATAATGCAGGGTTAATAGGATTTTGGACGGATTTGAATGTTGTAAAATGGAAGATTATATTTTGGACGGATTTATGGCTGAAATTCCTTGACTAATGTAAGTTTTCTTTGGAAAAAAATAACGAGGAACTCGAAAACAAATATTTGGAATGTTAGGGAACTAAAGATTATGTTTTTATGGGTTTTGGATTGCTGATTGAGGAGTTGTGATATATTCAGAAGAAATCCAATTATGAATCTTCTTAGTTTTGGAAAAACTCAGATAATTTGGCTTGGAAAAAAGGACCTCGCATGACCTTCAACATACTAAAAAATAGTAAGCTTTCTTCTTCTCCAATCCCTGGCTGAATGGTCCAGTAGGTTGTTGGTTGCTTTGACTTCAATTTCAATGCTAAAGTGTGCGACTTCATTAGCAATTCCAATTTATCTCTTTCAACTTGTGATAACCACCCTTTTCTTCTTGTTCTGATTCTCAGAACCCTCACTCATCAGGCGAATTATTACGTCCGGTGATCGGACCATCAGAACACCAATCCAGATGTGCCACGTCACCCGTATATACTGGGTTCCGAGTGTATCTGGGTGACATGACGCGTCTGGATTGATGTCCCGACGAATCCAAACACCGGACGTAATAATTTTCCCATTCATCAACCCTTCTCCACCTGCTCTTGGATAGGTAAAACCTTCTTCTCCATTAAGAATTTTCATCTTTAATTGTGCTAACTCCAACCTCCCTCTTGTAAATGGAAGAAACTTGTATGAGTTAAAGGTTTTGTTATTAACTGTACGTTACTGGCTTGCCTTCCTCATTGTGCATGGCCATTTCTGGATTGTGGGTCTCACGTTCTCGGAATGTATCTCTTGGTGCTATTTTCACCATTTTCTTCGAGGGCCTAATTTTTCTGAGATTTGTTCATGGAGGCTGTGATGATTACCAACATCAATGTGTGATTCAAACAGGTTATTGGCTCTTGACTCGTTAGTTTTTCTTAATCTGGATCAGTACTCCTTGTGAAGTTGTGCCTATATTTGATCTATAGCAATTATTGGGGGATAATTTTCAGCATTTAGCTTCAAATAGAATTTATATTTTATTGTTTTACAATTTTTTGTGCGTGGTCATAATTTTCTTATTGTTTTCTAAATCAATTTTTCAGTACCGAAATTTTTAATTTGAAAATTTTCTGTATTAAAAATTTATTTTAAGAAGTAACAAGGAAACTGTTCCAAACAAAGCTGTTCCTCTTATCTTTTTTCAGTTTTCTTAGATAAATCTTATATTTTTGTTTCTTTTTTAGATTGGCCTAATTTTTGAACGTCAAGCTTATCTTATTTGCTATTTTTATTGACAAGTTTATCATTTTGTAGTTAATTAATTGTCATTAATTTTCTATTAATGATATCTGCTGGGCGTCTGAACAACTAAAAATTTCCTCACATAGCATGTACAAACTTCATCGTCCTCGCCTATAAAAACTACTGAATACTTTATTATGATCGATCAATCAAAAACTCTGAACAATCAAGCAAAGTAACAGTAAACAATGGCAACACGAAAAGTTCAAATCAGCTTCTTTCTAATTCTCTTAGGCATGGCCATCCTTCTGCAGCAAGGCAAAGCTGTCGCTGCACAGAACCCTCCGACGACGGAAGATAATGAAGTGGTGATAAACATTAAAGCACCACCGCCACCAGATTACGTCATACCTGTAGATCCATGCTGTATCCAACGCCTGAGTTGCTGCCGTCATAACCCTCCCAATGGCCGCAAGCTCTTCAGCAAGATTTTATAAGAAGGTTGCGCGCAGGAAGAGAGAGAGAGCATATATATAATATATGGGATCGTTGATTTATTTTTTATCATTACTGACTTTATAATTAATAATGCTTTTCATATAGTTTTTGAGTGTAAATCTCATATATATGAGATTAAATAAATGAGGATAAATATTTAAAGAAAAGGATTTTCTTTGGAATTGAGCAAGTCAAAATTCTCTGTGAGGCTCAAGTTTATGTCATATAAATTGTTCTTGAATGTGCTAAGATAAAAGTTATTTATAGATTTTTGGAGAAGTGTTATGATAATTTTTATCATAATGTTGAATGCTCCATTGAAGGTATGAATATATAAATAAATTATCATATCTTAATGATCACATAATTGAGTATGTTCAAATTTGTAATATTTGTCTCATTGAAATGTTCATTTTGACTATATGCACTTAAGATTTGGAGGACATTTAACCCTCGAATTAAATGACCTAAAATTAAGAAATTTG